GCATGGGACTCCAGCAGCAGCCTAGCATAACATGACTAGCCTCGAAGTCACAACCATCTGACTATAAGTCCAAATCACTCAGGCACAATAAACTATTTAACAGTTAATGATAACCTATTAAGTATTCAGTAAGTGTTATTGCATCTATTACATTATTCGGATTACTTTGTGAGTTACGCATTTGTTTATCTAGCAAAGCTAGTTAAGTTAGTCATACATATCACAGTTTACATTGAAACATTATATTTGAAGCTAGGCCTACATTTAGTCATGGAGTTAGTATTGAAATATTGATTACACACATAGGCCAACTTTTTGTGTCAAATTAAGCATATTATTTAGAAATGTTATAAAAAGTAAACTAATTTGTGGCATAAACTTTGCATTATTTTAAACAAATAATATTTAAAAACTTGCCAAACAATAGAAATGTTCTCGATAGAAGTATAGAATACATTATAATAATATAATAAATATTGTTTTCCCTGAGTTTTACACTTTGTTTCCAGTATGCTTATTCCTTAGTATTAACTCAGCCAGTATAAGTTTGACATTTGTTATGGTGTGGACAGCTTTTTCAAGCTGGCAAACTATTATCATAATTAATTAACTTGTCTTTAGACATTAGTATTAGGCTTATTATATTTTTAACATCGCACTCTATATCTAGTGCCTTATAGATTTTCAATAATTAGAAAATTGTATAAAAATAGTATTTCAACCATTATTCGCCGTATCAATTGCTGACGACGTGTTTCACTCAATCCAGAGCTCATCAGACCAGCTAAGACACAATGAACACAGTAATAGTCTGAACACCATTTATATATGCCAAATGGTCCTGGTCAGCTTGATGAGTTCTGGATTGAGTGAAATGTATCGTCAGCAATGGGTATGGCAAACATAGTGTGGTTAGAATACTGTTATTATGAATTATTCTAATTTTTGAAAATCCGTGAGGGACTAGATATAGAATGCGATGTTAAAAATATAATAAGCCTAACACTAATGTATAATGACAAGTTCAACGTTGTTCAAAATTCCATATCTCAATCGAATCTTCTGTTTGACAGACTTATATGATACAGCTCCAAAGTATTTTCAGTTCACCATGAAAATACCACAGTTGCATGTAGGCACACGTACAGGATTTATAAGATAGAAACTTGTTAGAATATATGGCTAACATGAATGTCCTTGTGACTCATTGTCTTAGGTTATTTCTATGGTGTCATTGGATTTCTCTGGTAGAAGGTGTTGCTATAGAATTGTGTTTAGAATCATATTTCTCTGGTAGAAGGTGTTGCTATAGAATTGTGTTTAGAATCATATTTCTCTGGTAGAAGGTGTTGCTATAGAATTGTGTTTAGAATCATATTTCTCTGGTAGAAGGTGTTGCTATAGAATTGTGTTTAGAATCATATTTCTCTGGTAGAAGGTGTTGCTATAGAATTGTGTTTAGAATCATATTTCTCTGGTAGAAGGTGTTGCTATAGAATTGTGTTTAGAATCATATTTCTCTGGTAGAAGGTGTTGCTATAGAATTGTGTTTACAATCATATTTCTCTAACAAACTCAACTGTGTAGAGATTTGGCAATATCTGGAGACTATATCATTTTGACATAGTTATTTCTTTGATGGGTTCTTTTAAATTATATGCGAAATTAATTCAATATACAGACCACTACTGATCATTAAATATTTTATTTCCTCTTTTAACATCTCCGCAAGCTTGAAACCTTGTAAAAAGTCGTAACTTGTTTTAGATCTACATCAAAAATGACGTTCAGACCTTTATAGCAAAGCCAGGATTAACGTACAATCAACTTTCTTGAACAAAGTAACATAAAAATCATGATAGGTAAAACAGATCTAAATACTTCACGAAAACACACTGAATGATTCGACTCTCTATCTTGAAATAACTCACTATCTAGAAAATAAACTATATTCTTCTCCCTGACTATATTTCTGCTAACTCCACACTAGAAACAACTATCCCGTGTGAATAATCTAGTTTCAAATGTACCATAAAAATTGACCTCAACTTAAAACTTTCTAGGTGTGCTAAGCCTATTTTAACACCATTTGCCCTCTAGCAAACATATTAATTATAATATTAAAAATATCGATTAGAACAACAACTCCCTACTTTTACAGAATGATCAGTGATAGGTAGTGTATGCTCTCTGGGAAGAAAGATTATTTTCTGTGCATCATTCTTAACTCCCTCAGTATTGTTAAAATTGTATTCAGCTTTACTTAAC